CGGGGATTACCGGCCGGCCCGGGGTAACGCGGTGGTCGAGGGCCGCCTCGCACCCTGCCATCGCTGTCCCGAGGGAGGGAACCGCTCCTGAAACAGATGGAGAATCATAGAATCAGAGGACGGTTCGGGTTGGAAGGGCCCTTAAAGACCATCCAGTTCCAATCCCCCTGCCATGGGCAGGGACACCTTCCACTAGACCAGGTTGCTCAAAGCCTCATCCAGCCTGGCCTTGGACACTTCCAGGGATGGGGCATCCACGCTTCTAAGGGCAACCTGTTCCAGAAACGCTGCTGATTTCTGTATGGAGTGAAAGGGCTGCTGGAGTGTAGGTTTGTTTAAAGCTTTTATAAATAGTGTTACACTGTACAAACGTCGTTTAAAAATCTAAAATGACTATAACTTACTTAAAAGAAGTTGTAGCACTAGGCACTTAACGCGGGGAAGCTGAGTTGAAGTCAGATAGCGTGTGTTTATTTGGTACATTGTGGCTTGACATTGTGATTGATGCCCCATTGTCACAGTGTTTGTAACTCTTCCAGGCAATAAAGGAAATTGGAGTTTAATTTTTCTTTCAGCGCCTAGCATTTGCTAGTTCACAGATTCCCAGAGTGCTAGGGGTTGGAAGGGACCTCTAGAGATCATCTAGTCCAACCCCATTGTTAGTTGTATAGTGCTGATTTTCTTTCTCGGACCCTTTAGGGATATTGTCACAGGAATGTCACTTTGAGAAGTTCCGCAGGTTTGGAAGTTCCTATATTGCAGCATCATATGTGAAGTTTTTAGAATCTGCTGGTGCCCGAGTTGTGCCAATAAGGTATGTTTTTATATCCTTATAGGTAATAATTATTTAACATGAGGGTACCATCTTAGAGACACAGAAAGCAGTTGTGCTGCTTTTCTGAGTGTTGAGAGCTGCTCAAAGTCTATTTGAAGATGCCACAGTTTGCAGGGAGTTTTAGAAATCTGAATAAAAGCAGACTAGAACATGTAGTTTTTAATATTTCTTCCTATGATGATAACCTTTCTTTGGAAAATATTAATTTTTTAACCTGGAAAATAACTCTCCATAGTTTGCATCTGTGGTTTTTTAAGTTAGTTATATTCAGTCTAGTGTGTAGTGCCCCTCCCCCGCCCC